GAGAGAGAGAGAGAGAGAGAGAGAGAGAGAGAGCTTAGTTCTATCTTATCAGTCCATAAATAATTATCTAGCCTAGTTATAACAAATCTGTAATTGACTTATCAGAACCATATGCATCACTTTGTCAATCTCGTCCTCTATATTTTTCTCCTTACTATTTGAGAAAATCGTTGTTTTAATGTTCAAAATAAAACAGCCACTTCATAATCACAGGTCACACAGACTGAACAACTGGTTAGAAGCTAGCATTTTCCTTGGGCAACAATGATTCTCTTTGAACCTTTTTCTTTATCGATCATGAATAGCCCAACATTTCCGTCCGAGTTCATTACCTTTCTTTCACATCAAGATCCTTACTTTGTCTCTTCCATGTCCGACCTAGCTAATGCTCCACGATATTTTCCCTGCCCCTGCAGTTATTCTATCAAGTTTGACTACTATTCTTATCAACAGACATCCACACCTTTATATTTACATGCGGTAGACATTATAATTTATCAAGAAGAGGGAGAACATTCATGTGAAGGTTGGCTTCAATTCTACCACTAAATTATAAAATTTAATTTTTAGTTTTTTTTAATTTAATTAATTGTAATGTTATTTATTTATGTTCTAGTTTATTATATAGCATGCAACATTTAAAGTTTACTTGAGTTAGGTTTTATTTATTATTTTAGTTATTTTAAGCTTTTAATGTATTAATGTATATCTATCAAGTTTAGGCCGATTAAGTAAATTTAAGATCAATTTTCTACTATATAAACCAATTGTTAGCTTTCTCTCTTTATATGGTTCAATGATTTCTTTACTAAATTCTTGATAAAACTTGCAAATTGCTTGAAGAATTGATCAACTTCATTGTGATTTATTCTATTAATTTATTTGTATCTAGTTATAAACATAGAGTGGGGGTGATCAAATTACATATAATTTTGATTCTTCAAGGCAAAATTTCTTCAAAACCTCAAATTAGTAATCTAAGGTACAATTACAGGTTATGACAAAAAAATAAATAGTTTTGCTTCATTGATGTAATGAATTTTAAGAAAAAAAAAAATTAGACTAAAACAAGGATACTGATAGACTGAGTGTTGAGGCGACCAGATCTGTGATGATGGGAGCTTGATTTGTAATAAAATGAGGGGAGAGGGGTGTTGTTTTCTGCTAAAAAAAAGAAGAAGAAGAAGAAGAAGGAAAAAAGAAGAAGAGAGAGGTTATCTGACAAATTATAACTTAAATATACCGATGAATTCATCGACAAACATTAGCGATAATTATATTTCATTGGTAATTCTGTCTGTAATACTGACATGTTATATTTCCATTTCTTTTTCATTCCTTGAATTTCAACTATAATTTTTTTGATATTTATTAATGAAAATTTCTTGTTAAGTTATGAATACTGATGGAAATGATAAAATTATTTTATGTTGGTGAATATAATTAATTTCTTGATGATATTTATTTTATTAGTAATTCTATTTATATTTGATGATTTTCTAGTAATAGTAATGCTATTTAAACGGCTAGTTATATAACTATTGTGCGCTCTTATTTCTAAGATCTAGATCCTCGAACTTCAATATGAAAATATTATCATGTAGTGGAAAATAATAGGTAACTGCTGATAGTATATGCTTTTCCTTTCACGATATGCACTGGAGCAAGTATAATCCACCATGGATATTCTACTATGGATTAAAAGGAGAAGTCAAGGTGGAGGATGGGTTCCCAAAGTGATCATGTTTGGGATTCAAGGTTCTTCTTGTCGCAAAGCATCTTCATCTTCAAGTAGTTGACAGTGAAAGCTGCTTTTCAATCTCTACCTGTTAATTAATCAGATTTTGGAACATAAAAAACACCCTCCAAAATAATTAAGAGAATGTATCTACCCCGAATGCATGGTCACCAGGGTGATGGAATCACCCATGTAATTAATCAAGTTTATTATATATCACACAAACTAGAAGTTCTAAGTACGTCTAATCCGATCGCCGGTTGAGAAAAAGGATTTGCCGATCACTTGATGGTCCCAATTGCCAGTATGCAATCTAGAAAGGACGAGAACAAGCTAAAACCGACCATACAAGCTAGCTCGCTTTCATGTTAGAAGTGGGAACCTGCTGGTATCCCTTGACCGCATTGAAAGAAAAAGACGGTGCATGTACAGGAATATCCATTTGGAAAATGCAAATCTTCATATATCAACTGTCCTAAAAACAGCCACCTGTAGAAGGTCGAAAATGTGGAAGCAAGGATCAAAATATATTTCTATAAATTTGAAATCCAAATATATATTTTTTAATTAAAAAAATATTTTTTTTAAAAAAATATATATATATTATATCTTAAAGCACACCTGAAAATTTAAATTTCTCAACTTTCTTGTAACTTCTATTTCAGTATAGTTATCACTCTATTCCTACTCAGCATCATTGTATCTTTTCCATGAGTAGGTAGCATGATTATTGATAACAACCAAATATCTCCTTCACACAGAACAAAAACCTAAGATTAACCAAACATTAAAAGGCTACATATAAAGTATAAACCAAAAGCAGCGAACAAGCTAAATAAAGACAACATTTTTTTTTCTTACATAAAAAATGAAGACAAAACATTAAAACAGCTTGAACCCCGTAACAGCCCTTTTTTATTTCTCCCTAGCTTTCCTCTGACTTCTAATTGATGTTACATGCATGTTGCAAAACTAATCCCCCCCACCTTCCTGCACAAGATACTTGATTATATTAGCTACCTAGTTTAAATTAACTTCCTGTGTATACCCCACATAACAAATATTTCACATCACTGAACATCCGGTCTCGTTATCATCATCACCGTACTCATTGATTGGATCGGAGGGTGGAGCTGGTGGCTGGTACCTATTCTGGTAATAGGGAATATTATCGTGCATGGGATGTGTATAATAGGACTCACTTGCACTAGGATATGCTGTTCTGTAATTTATTCCATAAGCTGGAGGAGGTAGGTAATGCATTGGCGGATAATGGTATACATGTGGTTGGGGAGGGCTTTGAATCATCAAGGGCATAGGAGGAGCTGAGTAAAGAGCAGCTACGGAAGAAACAGTATCAGCCGGTACACCACCAGATTCAGCACCATTGGCGCCATTGTTGGAATTGCCGTTTGGCCTTTTCTTCTTCTTCTTTTTCTTCTTATTTTTACCACTGCCATCACCACTGGCTGCCGCAGACACAGGAGCAGCACTTTCTTCACCAGCATCATCACTTTCAGCATCTGAGTTTTGATCATCACCACCATTTCCGTTACTAGTTTTTGCGTCCGTCTCAGGATTTTCATCTGGAGTACTCTTCTGATGATGGCCATCATCACCAACTTCTAGAACATCTTTTGGGATCTTCTGCTTGTCATTTTTGTTCGATTTTCCAGACCTTTTCTCCTTATTCTCAGAGTTTTCAGGCCAAAGCTCAGCGTGTTTTCCTGATCTCACCAGTTTCTTGATAAGAGTCTGGGCGTCAACGTTGCCAGTTACAGTAACCTTATGCCGATGAGAATCAACTTCTGTCTTGTAAACACCTGGTCAAAGCATAAAAGAGAATACGCAAAGTGATGCATTCAAACAATAAGTTAATATTGAAATGATTTACAAATCGAATATAAATAAAGAATCAAGTATCTAATTTGAATAGAACATATAACATAATACCATCAATGCTTTGAAGAACTTTCTTAACTTTCTTCTTGCATCCTTCACAGTGGATTGAAACTTTCAAGAACCATGTCTGAAAAAACAATTGAGAAATGAACTCAGAAAGCGAAAACAAAAAACGCTAGAAACGATGAAAGAGGTACTAGGAGTAGGTGGACGTCCACGCACACACACATATAAGAGCCTTCTTTACCTGGTATTTTAGCATGTCTAAAGCCTCCTCAGCTGGTTTTGTGGCCATCTTGTAGAGATAGAAAGTTATGGCCTATTACGTTAGAGAGGAAGGAAAGGACAGCTTTCGAGTGTGTAGGCAATCGCTTAAGAATTAAAAGGAAGGAATGGAGTCATGAGAGGGTAAAAAGAGTGGGAGATGAAGAATGGAATGGAGAGAGAGAAGAAATATTAGGAGGGGAGTGGATGCCACGTCACCAACCTGACTCAATAAACTAAAACTATATATATATATATATGCGCAAGCTAGAGAGAGATATTTTTGCTTAAATTTATGTTTAAAAAGAACGAAAGATAAGATGATAGATACGATAATAAGATGATAGATATGATTATAACTCTCAACTACTCAATTAATATAAATATAAGTGAATTTGATAAATTATTAGATTTAATATCTTTAAGTTTAAGTATTTATATATTTGATAAGATGTCAAATTTAATATTCTTGAGCTTCATATTTCACCAAGTCCAAATAAATATAAAATTAATGATTTTTTTAAACCATAATATTTATGAACTTAGTTATGCACGAATCACGTGTATATATATATATATATATGAGTCTAACAAAATACCAAACATAATACTCCTGAATTCCAGTACTACAAGCTTATCACATCTTCATGTGAGTTATATAAATAACAAATCTAACACCTTTTAGCTCAGTTATACATTAAATCTAAATACATGTGGATTTGACAAATTATAGACTCAATATTGATATGCTCAAGATCTCAAGCGAGTCTAAATTAATATAAAATTGATAATCTTTTTATACCTTATAGTGGACCACAAGACTTCATTTGTTTTTTATTATGATTCTTAATATAAAATAACATTCATTTCTCTACACTTCTAAATATATAAAAGCCTTCAAAATGATCTATAATTTATCCCTTATTAATGATGTGTAATAAATATTTTTTTAATGATATGAAAAAAATATTTATTTTTAAAAAAAATTATCAAGATAAAATGATATTTCAGTCTTTCCTCTTCATAAAATGACAATATTAGTTTATGAGCTATAAATATTATATGAATTCTTTAAAGATAGGGGTATATAATCTCTTTATTCTTAATATTTTTAGTATACACATTCTCAAGATATATTTCTCTAAAATATAATTTTTTTATTGCAAAAAATATTTATTTAAGTATAAGAGATTTTCAAATTTATTAAGAAAATTCTTTATAATTACCAACCACTTTAACCTACTAAACACTAATTATCAATTACTAAGTATAAAATTAAAAAACTAACTAATTATTCAATATATAAATTTTGCTTGAGGTTTTTTTTTTTTGACCTCATCAGTATATTAACACAATAAGCATATCACGTGCTCAAGTCACGTGACCGCCACAGGATCATTTGTCTCCTTGTATCCCGTAGGCACCTCAGCCCCTGGAATGTGACCGTCACAAGCTTATATAAAGGAGAAACTTCCATGACTATGAGCTATGGCATGTGGTGGAACTTGTACAGCTACTAGTCTTACTAAAATTGTCTTAAAAGGGGCTTGTCTACTTCCACTGTACCCGCCACAGGATCATTTGTCTCCTTGTATCCCGTAGGCACCTCAGCCCCTGGAATGTGACCGTCACAAGCTTATATAAAGGAGAAACTTCCATGACTATGAGCTATGGCATGTGGTGGAACTTGTACAGCTACTAGTCTTACTAAAATTGTCTTAAAAGGGGCTTGTCTACTTCTATTATGATTCTTAATATAAAATAACATTCATTTCTCTACACTTCTAAATATATAAAAGCCTTCAAAATGATCTATAATTTATCCCTTATTAATGATGTGTAATAAATATTTTTTTAATGATATGAAAAAAATATTTATTTTTAAAAAAAATTATCAAGATAAAATGATATTTCAGTCTTTCCTCTTCATAAAATGACAATATTAGTTTATGAGCTATAAATATTATATGAATTCTTTAAAGATAGGGGTATATAATCTCTTTATTCTTAATATTTTTAGTATACACATTCTCAAGATATATTTCTCTAAAATATAATTTTTTTATTGCAAAAAATATTTATTTAAGTATAAGAGATTTTCAAATTTATTAAGAAAATTCTTTATAATTACCAACCACTTTAACCTACTAAACACTAATTATCAATTACTAAGTATAAAATTAAAAAACTAACTAATTATTCAATATATAAATTTTGCTTGAGGTTTTTTTTTTTTTGACCTCATCAGTATATTAACACAATAAGCATATCACGTGCTCAAGTCACGTGACCGCCACAGGATCATTTGTCTCCTTGTATCCCGTAGGCACCTCAGCCCCTGGAATGTGACCGTCACAAGCTTATATAAAGGAGAAACTTCCATGACTATGAGCTATGGCATGTGGTGGAACTTGTACAGCTACTAGTCTTACTAAAATTGTCTTAAAAGGATACGTTAGCTGTTGAAAAATCTGGATTCTGGGTTATTTAACGTCTCAATTTCAAGACTAAGGGAGATAGATGGAAGTTTGAAGTTGAAAAGCACCTATCAAACTGTGATCATTCAAGTTTTTACTACACTCTATAACCATAACGACACTTTAACAGGGTTGATCTAAGATATATTAATTGACCTAATTAATAAACAAAATATTGATAATAATAATTAAAAAAATAGTTTTTAGTAGTAGGAAAATGTACCTACCACACCAGGAAACAAGAATTTCCAGTTTCAACAGATCAAGAGAGAGCAAGTGGCCAGTTTAGTTATGCATCGTGAAAATGAAGTTCCGGACCCCGTATAGACTGACCAAGGATACAAGTAATGTCTCCAAGGATGTAATGTCGCTAAATCATATGCAAACGACTTTACAGCTTTATAAATAAATAAATAAAAACTGTACTTACCATTATTTTTAAGAAAAGGTTTGCAAGGTTGTTCATTTTCCAGTAGATAGAGATTGGTAAAACCTAATTGAGACTTCTTTGAATCTAAACAACAAATTTTACTCTCCATGCCTTTAAATTTTCTGCCAATCTCATTTTGGCAGGCGAGCCACTCCTTGTCCACTGATCGGCCAGGAAAACAGAGAATCGTAGGAAGAGTTTCAAGTAAGAACAGGTGACAAAGGGTACGCCAAAATTTTATAAAGCTTTCCACGCTCAATTCGAACTCCTAATGTACAGTCATTTGCTTTGAGTAGCTAGGTCCATTTTTCTTTTCGTGGTACTTGGTTCAGGAAAAGAGGACTTCAAGAAAATGACTTTCTTCCTTTGTCCACATCAGGATGTTTCTGACTAAAAGAACTGATATAATTTCGTTCTGTCCTGTAAAACTTCCAATTTCTATTATCTTTCTTCTTTATTTGTAAGGATAGCCCATCGCTTTTCTCAAACTCTTACCAACACGTTTGCCTCGATAAGCTATTACATCTTTTATATTCAGCTATCATGTGTATATATAGTTCATGTTACAAGCCAGCAAAGATTTAGCAGGCTAGCAGCAGTATTTATCATTTGATGTCTAATTCATCACTGACCATTCTATTACCTGGATTTCATCCACCATAAATTCTACCATCTTGTGGAGCAGACCATGCTCAATCGGTGCCTCCACCTTCTATGGAAAGGTCACAGAGGACCAAGCTAAAGCTTAACGAGAAACCCCAGTTGCATTGGGTGGCAATCAATGGACGTTACCAATCAAACCGGTATAAACAGGCATATTACGTCAAAATATAAAATTATTGCCACCTCTTAGCTGCCAACTTTAGTTCAAAGCAGGACAAACAGTCTTCAATAATTCAGCATGTTGTTTATAAACTATCCACGGTTCCCGCAAGTAGACATTCCATATTGAGACAAAAGAGAAAATCATGATGTGCAAGAGATGTTGGTCAACATTTTCAAGAAAAGGAGCTAATCACTTCTTGGCACTTCTTGATTATCATTTAGCAGATAGAATTCTAAAGCAGGACAAACAAAAATCTCTAACAAAGCCAATATTTTTCTAATATACCACTTTACTCGAGCCAATGGGCTTGCAAAGCTTTTACTACTAGTGTGACTTGTGACGACACTTGGCACTCGCAAGAGCTATCGCCTATCGCTTTATATTCTTTATACAAGAGCCAGTAGAATAAAAAAGAACAAAAAAAGAAAAAAGAAGAAAAGGAGTTAAACACCATGAAAAGTATTATGGTCATCCAAACCTAATTAGTAAATGAAATCTAAAGATATCTATAATTTATAATTCTAATGCGGTGGACAGCCTCACATTGAAGTGAATTTGGCTGTTCTTGAGATAGGACCATATGCAGATTCATCAAAAGAGAAGGAAAAGGCAACACGATATGCTTGAAGTGATATTCATATTCAGCTTGGCCAATTGAGACACAAGTGGAGATGTGGCCTTTCAGAAGGCTCAACTTCGCGGAAAACGACACCATTAAGGAAGTCATCAGTTATGACCCATCGTCCATAGAAAGGGATCTATGTGCACTGGAAACCAAGCTTTTTGACAGGGATATCATCTGTAGCAAGCTCTTGAAGGCATAAGGGATTTTCCAGCTGGAGTGACAAAATGCAATTACACTTACTGGGAAGCAGCATCAGTCCTTTAAAGTGATGGTATATTGGTATCATTATTCATGTATTAAGGGGAACTAATCAAACAAGTTCTACACAAGAGAAGTGACGCAGAACAAGATGCTGCTGGATCGTGATTTCGTTCACGAAGACGAAGATTGTTGATATCGTTCAACAAAACGAAGAGTAGCTTCAAAATTTAACAATAATTTTGAACCGAATAACTTTTTGTAAAATTAATGTCTTTCTTTTGTGATTACAACCAACTAAATATTGCAACAAGCCAATACAACTTCCAATAAAGTTAAAATGCATGAATAAAGGAAAATGTCTAGATTCGGTCTATGACCAGATTAACTTTATTTAATTCAGCAGGCTTTTAAAGATTAGATTCAAAGTCTCTGAAATCTTCATTAATGATGGCTGGCTGCAGCTCTCCATCTTCCTGCAGCTCTCCATCTTCCTGCAACTCTTCATTATCCTGCGGTTCCCCATCAAACAAGTTCTAGACAAGAGAAGGCATTCTTTTCCTCACAAGATCATCTGGGTAAAGGCTGTATTTTACATACTC